GTTGCATAGAGGGTTAGTGTTAGGATTACAAGGAGAGTTAGTATTAGAGTTACAGTTACAGGGAGGGTTATTGCAAGATGTAGCTGTAGCCCCTCTGGAGTTAATAGTTAATTGTTGTTGTGCAGGCTGTGAGACCCAGAGACTTGTGGGATTGATAATTCGGTGCCAGGAAGAGACTGTGCTTTAGGGAACTGCTAAAACTACAATACCCAGGAGGCTTTGCATTCAGCAGGAGGAGTGAGCTGAGTCAGAGTTTCCTGAGCGCCCTCAGTTCAGCAGAGAGTAGAGAAAGGGCACACATGTAGTTTGTGCTGCTGGTGACTGTTACAGGGGGAAGCCATAAACCCTGTAAGGATTTGTCCAGCTCTCTGTTACTCTGTACATGCTTGTAAGCCCCCCTATGTAATAGCATTTAAAGAATAAAAAATAAATAAATAACCGTTTTAAAATAATATAAATTAAAATGTAAAGATAATATAAAACGAATGTAAAGTCCCCTGCCCCGGCGAGCATGCATGTCTTCATGTAAACACGCATGTTGGGTATCACTGTGTATGCCAGAGCGAGAGCAATAATTCTAGGGCCAATATTTATGTGTATCCCTAAACTGATGACCTGTGGGGGCTTTTAAAACATTGTCTATGGACTTTTTGGGGTACTGAATTTTGTTGCAGTTTTACGGACGCACATAATTTTTACCTGTGCATGTTGGGTATCTATTTACTCGTTGTAACCTCATCTTTTATATTTTACAAAAAAAATGTGTATTATATTGTGTTTTGGGGCACGTAATTCACATTAAGTGCATTTTTCAGTAAATGTTTGGGTTTGATGATAATTTGCACTAAAATTGTGCAACATAAAAATTTTCAACTGCCACCATTTTATTCTACAGGGTCTTGGCTTTCAGAAAATATATAATGTTTGGGGGTTTGAAGTAATTTTAAGGCCTAAAATGTGGATTATAACGTGTGCAAAAAACGAAAAAAAGGCCTTGGTCCTTAAGGGGTTAATGTTATAGTTTCATGGTGAGTTCGTTTTTACTCTGGTTAGGTTCGCTTAAAGCCCCGTTCACATTGAGCGATTCATCGCGCGGTAATTACCACGCGATATCGCGCTCCAATGCATTTCAATGGGGCTAAGGGTCCTGCTGTCGTGGGCGTGTGTCGCTACAGCAGGACCCTTTTTGGAGCGGATTTAGCCGCGATTCAAGCTTGCTCAATGCAAGCTTGAACGCGATATGGCGCAATATGCAAATCGCACGACAAACGCGCGATTTGCATATCGCGCAGTGGGAACGGGGCCTTAAAATAAATGTGTGCATTGTTGATGTACTGTACGGTGACACACATTTTAGATGCCTTATGTTGCATTTCATTCGGTAAATGCGAGTATCACATTGTGGTCATTACACCCAAAATACAGCACAAAGGACTCCTCAGTGCCACCCACTGATGAATATGAACAAGCCCTTTTAGCGATAATGCATTTTCTCTTTTCTTTGCAGAATGCATTTCAATTTTCAGCTACGAAATGCAGTAATTGAGTGATGGAATGGCAAAGAAGTCGCCTCAAATTGACCTTCAGGCAATGTGACAAGAACAGCTCAAATGTGTATTTACTAAAAGCACCCTCTGGTACATTCAGTAACACAGGCTGTTAAGTCAAGCTAACTGGAAAGTTAACGTGTGGCGGCAGCTTAGATTAATGCAAGGTGTCACGGTGCGGCCAGCCTTCCATGTAATAGTGAAATCTACTGAACAATTATTGGCAGGTGTATTGATTATGTATACTGCATGGAATTATCAGTACTTCTGACAAGATCACATTCTAAAGTGCTGACAACGTTCACATTAATGGCTTCACTTCTGTCACATCACTGTCCTGTGGAATCAATGAATGCCTTCACATGGATATTCCCTATCCAGATTAATCCCCAGGTTGCAACAATGACGTCAGTTGATCTGGGTTACCTTTAGTTTACTGTACGAGCATCAAATGCTCATGTTAAAGGAGAACTATGAGGTGAGTGCTTTTCACTCACCTCATAGTTCTAGCCGACCTGTGACAATGAGACTGTCACAGGTCGGCTCAGTAGATCGGGAGGTGAGCGAACACATACCCCCCTCCCCCCTCCGATCCACCAGCGCTGACTGGCGGATCGGACGGGGGAGGGTACAGCTGGCTCTGCCTCTAGATAGAGCCAGCTGTCACTCACGCAGCTGGGCGGATCCCGGCATAATTGTCGGGATCTGCTTTAGCTGCGGTGGTCTCAGTATACCGCGAGCAGCAGCTCGTGGTATACTGTGGCGTCTCAGTATACCTGCAGCTCGCGGTATACTGAGCTTAGGGTGACGAGAGGACGCTAGTTTGTGTCCTCCCGTTACCCTAAGGAGAACTATGGGGAAAAGACTTAACCCCATAGTTCTCCTTTAAGTCAAAACAATGTAATTCCTAATCTTATTTTAATGCTACACTAGCATATTTATGCACACCCTTTTTTTTCCCCTCCATGTGGCGTTCAAAGGGAAATAAAGCTCCCCTAAAGTAAAACACATACTGTATGTTCACGTTAATGACTAATGTCCTAATGTAAAATAATTTTATTCAGCAGACCCTGTTGATTATATATAAAAAACAAAGAATTTAAACTGTATGCATCCAAATTTGTTACCAAATTAAAGCCCTACCTGTCCAGAGAAAAAAAAAATATAATATTTTAGGGTAGACTGCAAATGGGAAATTGTGTAATGTGCAGAATTGTGAAATTGCAAAAAAAAAAAAACCAAACATCTGGGACTTAGGCATTTAGGGAGAAAAAGGCCCAGGGACTCAAGTGTATAGCAAAAAGTAAATTTACTTTAAAGATGAACTTCATCTAAAAACAGCTCTTTAGACACACTCTGCGTGATAAAAATCAATGGCTTGCATGGGGCCCCTTAGGTACATCATTATTGGGCCCCTGAAAGGCTACTAGAAGCTTTCATCATTGTAGAACATTCCGTATCAATGTAGTTATGGCATTTGTAGTAAGGCAATTGTACAATTTCCTGAGCTGGTCAACCCAACGCTGCAGACAGGTTTTCTATAGCACAGGTGATCCCATTGTGTAAAAGAATCTGTTTATTCTGTGCAATCTATTTTTGGCTCCATCATTATCCCCCAAACTCTTTCTTCCTGCTTTGGAATGACGGTCCCTGTTGTGCATCCAAATACCTTCCATCTGCAAATATACCTCTTCAATCTCATATTTCAGGATCTGTCCAAAAATGTGTCCAAAAATGTGTTACTAAACTCATTCTATCAATATATTGCAGTAACTTTCTATTGCCATTGACTCTTTATATGAAGGCATGTCAAACCTCTGTGTAAGGGCTGGTCCATCCCATAATGGTGTAAATTTGGTGATGCTGCCTATAGCACCTAAGTGTTTTTTTCATATTGGTTTAGAAGCATCTTTTGCCAAGGACAAAAAAATTACATTTCTGTTTTAAACT